TGGGAATTCTGCCATGTTCTCGAGGAGCATTATTGTGTCTCCTGGAACAGGCGGCACAGACACAGTGGTTTGCAGAGGCAATCTGCTCAAACAATCTGCGTTTGCTAACTTTGAGCCTGGTTTATACACAATACTGTAATCATACGCTGCCAGCATCAAGGCCCATCTCTGGAGTCTGGCTGACGCCATCACTGGAATGCCTTTCTCTGCATCAAGTAGACCCATGAGGGGTTTGTGATCTGATAACAGCTGAAATTTTCGTCCGAACAAATACTGGTGGAATTTCTTTATGCCAAACACTATTGCCAGTGCTTCTTTATCAAGCTGTGAATAGTTCTTTTCTGCAGGTGACAAGGAACGTGACGCAAACGCCACAGGGTTCTCAGTACCATCTGGCATGATGTGTGACAGGACGGCACCTACTCCATATGGAGAAGCATCAGCTGCTAAGTTGAGAGGAAGGTCTGGATTGTAGTGAGTCAAGACCTTACATGAAGACAAGTGAGATTTCACCTTTAGAAATACTGTATCATGCTTCTTGGTCCATGACCATGGAGTGTCCTTTTGTAGTAACCCATGTAGTGGCACTAACGTCGTGGAGAGATTTGGCAGGAATCTCTGGTAGTACTGTACCATCCCAAGGAATGACTTTAACTCTGTCACATTCTGAGGAGCTGGTGCGGACACAATAGCGTTTACCTTCTCCTCTAATGGATGCAGTCCCTGTGCGTCAATCCGGTGTCCCAGGTAAGTGACTGAGTCTTTCTTGACGTGACACTTTAAAGCGTTAAGACGCAAACCTGCTTTCTGCAATCTGTCAAGGACTTCATTCAGATTCTTGTTGTGTTCTGCATCATCAACACCTGTGACGAGAATATCATCGAGGTAGACGCACACATGTGGCAAGTCGCTGAGAAGACATTCAATTGTCCGCTGGAAGATAGCAGGAGCTGCCGACACCCCAAAAGGTAATCGTTGGTACTCGTATAGACCTTTATGGGTGTTAATTGTGGTGAGTTTCTTGGAATCATCGTCCAACACTATCTGCTGGTAGGCATTACTCATGTCCAATTTCGTAAACTTGCGACCACCTGAGAGTGATGCAAATAAATCCTCAATCCTGGGTATTGGGTAACAATCTGGTTTAGCAACCTGGTTGACTGTTAGTTTGTAATCTCCACATATGCGCACTGAAGACTGATCCGACTTCAACACTGGTACGATGGGTGCTGCCCACTCTGAGTACTGCACTGGTTTTATGACACCCTGCTGCTCTAACCGTTCAAGTTCATTCTCAACCTTGTCCCTCAAGGCATAGGCCATGTTCCTGTGCTTGTAGAAGCGTGGTTGTGAAGGAATAGATATGTTAATCTTCACTTTTGTATCTTTCAACTCACCAAGTTCCTCCTTGAAGACATCGGAATGTGAGTTAAGGATACTTTGCACATCATCACAATCTACTCTGAGGATTGTTCCCCAGTCTAGACGAACATGTCGCAGCCAGTCGCGACCAAAGAGATTAGCTCTTCTCCCTTTCACTACAATCACTGGCAGTTCTGCTGACTGTTTGCCGTAGTTCACTTTCACTGAGTGAGTGAGTGAGTATGGTTTTACGCCGCTTTTAGCAATATTCCAGCAATATCACGGCGGGGGGACACCAGAAATGGGCTTCACACATTGTACCCATGTCGGGAATTGAACCCGGGTCTTCAGCGTGACGAGCGAACGCTTTAACCACTAGGCTACCCGACCGCCCCTCACTTTCACTGAGCATGAACCAAGCAGAGGTATCTTCTCACCTAGGTAAGTACGTAACAAGGTATGAGGAGGTCCTAGTTTGGGTGGATCTTTCCCTAACGATCTGTAAGTGTCCTCATTAATCACAGAAAATGTTGCACCTGTATCCAGCTCCATGCTTAATGGCTGACCATTAAGTGCTAAATCAATAAACATTGGTGGTTCCTTCTCTCTCCTCCCAACAAAAGGTGTAGAGCTAGTCTCCATCTTGTAAATGTCATATATTTCACTTTCAACATCATCATAGTTATCAGGAGTGACCTGATTTGTCGCTGAACGCTTGTGCTGACCCCGACTTCGACCTTGACCTCTAGATCGATACGAGCCACGTCCACAACGAGAACCTTTACTATTCTGTGACTGACGACATACCTTCCCAATGTGGCCAATCTTACCACAATTGTAACACTTTGAGGTACGAAAATGACAGTCCGGAGATTTGTGATTTCGTAAACCACATCTGTCACATGGCGGGTAGACAGGAGCATGTTGAGATGATGACATCTTGTGCATGTTACCCCCTGTAGCTGCTGAAACACTTGAAGCACCAACTTTAATATCTTCTACATTCTTTGCTGCCAATTCCATTGACTGTGCTAGTGTATAAGCCTTATTGCAATCCAGAGCTTTCTCTGCTAATAATCTCCTCTGTATTGCATCATTATTAATGCCACAAACTAGTCTGTCTCTAAGTGAATCATCAAGAGTAGTACCAAAGTCACATGTACTTGCCAGTTTGCGCAACTCGGAAGCATACGCTGCAACACTCTCTTGAGACTTTCTATCCCTCTTGTGAAATTTAAGTCTTTCAACTATCACTGACGGTGTTGGGTGTTGATGATCGCGCATGACTTTCACTATCTCAGCAAACCTCATTTCCTTAGGTTTCGTAGGAGCGCACAAATTCCGGAGAAGTGTGTAGGCTGTCTTACCCATTTCACTAAGCAGAATAGCCCGTTTCATCACATCATCCTCGTCATCAACACCTCTAGCCGTAAAGTACAAGTCTAACCTCTCACAATAAATGTCCCAGCTGTCAGTCTCTGTATTAAATTCGTCGATCTTCCCGGAGGTAGATGACGCCATGTTTATGGAGCGAGTGAAACACGACGGACGTTAATCACACAAAATGTCCACAAAAACGCTAAGACATCCAGTTTTACCTCGTCGCCAATTTATGTGATGACTTTGGCAGCTACAACAAACACTCGGCTTTCCGGGGAAAGGTTGTATTCTCTCATTACATGTCAATACACTCAGTCAAGTGTAGTCGGCAGCCATGTGGTCTGCTAGCGCACAACACACACACTTCCGGCGCTGTTACACGTGCGCACTCATTTATATAGAGACATCGTATGGATAAAGCGAGTGACTGGTTATATGATACTAAAACGCTACAGTTACCCTGTCTGGCGCTCGGCATTAAGGGGCTAAAACAAGGACTGGTCGGCTCGGTGTCAGTATACTGTGTCTGAGTGGGGTATTCATGTTAAACTGCGGCATGGTATCTCAGTGGGCTAGCACTATAAATCGGCATCAGTCTGGACTAGTACAAGCAGCCACACACACACACACACATGCATGCACGTCGCTATATAAGTGCAATAATCTTAGACGCGACGTTAAACCAAATTTCACCTCACCTCACCTAAAGGTAAACAATGGTGGGGTAAGAAATTTCATTTTCAAAAGTTGTCTGAAATGTCACCAGAATATTGTCAGACACACTACAAGTTTATTGTCGACACAGTTGCCTTCAATAGCGTGTATGACCTCCAGCTGCCTCAATGCATGCTGTGATACGCCGCCTCATGGATGACGTCAGTCTTCTGATGACGTGGACTGGAATCCGTTACCACTCGTCTCTCAGGGCCTGCTGCAATTCTTGTCTGTTGACGGGAGGCTAATGGCGTGCTCTAATCTGTCTGTCAAGATGGTCCCAAAGATGTTAAATAGGATTCATATCGGGTGAGTGGGCAGGCCAGGGCAAAACGTCAACGTTCTGCTGGTTTAGAAAGTTCCGACTCAGTCTTGTAGTATGGGGCCAGGCATTGTTGTGTTGAAACAATGTCCCCTGCTGTTGGTTTTGTATGAACGGAAGCACAACTGGCTGCTGTCTTCCTGAATCATCTGTGTCCTCCTGAATCATCTGTGACCTCCTGAATCATCTGTGACCTCCTGAATCATCTGTGTCCTCCTGAATCATCTGTGTCCTCCTGAATCATCTGTGTCCTACTGAATCATCTGTGTCCTCCTGAATCATCTGTGTCCTCCTGAATCATCTGTGTCCTCCTGAATCACCTGTGACCTCCTGAATCATCTGTGTCCTCCTGAATCATCTGTGACCTCCTGAATCATCTGTGTCCTCCTGAATCATCTGTTTCCTCCTGAATCATCTCTGTCCTCCTGAATCATCTGTGTCCTCCTGAATCATCTGTGACCTCCTGAATCATCTGTGACCTCCTGAATCATCTGTGTCCTCCTGAATCATCTGTGACCTCCTGAATCATCTGTGTCCTCCTGAATCATCTGTGACCATGCTTTCTTGTCAGCTTATAAACCTACTGCCACTTTTGTCTATTGTATCTTAGGCATCTTCCTATCTCGTAATTACCTCTTAGGAGGTTTCACTGTTTCCCAGTAAGAACTTATCATGGGTATAAGGCTTTACTTTCTCATGGTAAGACCTGGTATGAGTTTTAATTTTTCCAAATAAGACTTGATGGTTTTTTGTCGTAGATGAAAATTGTGCTTGGTGTTTCAAAAGTCCAATGTTTTAAAATCGCAGATAATTAATGAAAGTTTTCATTATGGATGACGTGAATCGAACCTGCAACCTGACATATCCTGTTTAGTTTTGTAGCCCACTGTTTTCCCCCTGAGCCATCGGACCAGGTGATGAAAAGTTGTTCACTTTTACATGTCATGAATCCTGTTGGTCCATGCTGCACGTGTTTTTTCTCGTGCACGCTTTGATTGAATTCCTTTTATACCCTACAGCGACACACTGTATTGTTTCACTCTAAGGTGTCTTGATGTTTTCTTTTTTTCTGGTATTTCTTGCATTTAGACGGTTCATAAGTGAGCTCGCTCCTTGATCTTATATTGTGGAGATCTATATAATTGCCAAGGTCTTACTACCTCGACCATAACTTAGGAGGAGTGCTTTATCCTTCACATATGTCCCTCACTCTTTGTTCCAGGGATTTTTCCTGTTGCGGCACCTGCAGAACAAAGTTGGCCTCACAGAGTTCCTGCTCTTTCTCCGCCATTACGTGGATCGGTTCCATGCCCAGCTTGTCACATCACAGGTCAGCCAAAACACACCTCCCCTCTAGTCAACACACACCTCCCCTCTAGTCAACACACACCTCCCCTCTAGTCAACACACACATTGCCTCTAGTCAACACACACATCACCTCTAGTCAACACACACCTCCCCTCTAGTCAACACAAACCTCCCCTCTAGTCAACACACACATCACCTCTAGTCAACACACACCTCCCCTCTAGTCAACACACACATTGCCTCTAGTCAACACACACATCACCTCTAGTCAACACACACCTCCCCTCTAGTCAACACAAACCTCCCCTCTAGTCAACACACACCTCACCTCTAGTCAACACACACCTCCCCTCTAGTCAACACACACCTCCCATCTAGTCAACACACACCGCCTGTTGACTGTTGGCATATTGCATTTCAAAACTTTTTATTTCTTTTTTGAAAAAATTATCAAGTTTGAAATGCAGAATTAATCTTCTAAACAAACAGATGTCAAGAATTGATGACAAACCTAATCCCTTGGGGTCTCCATATCTGATTATATTTGGCTTCTGCCTGGAAGGTCAAGGACCATCAACCATGATGAGGTCCTTGGTGTCCATCTCTGTTCACTAGAGACAAATTTCAATCAGCGATGATGAATTATGTATACCTAGCTCTATCAATATCTGTACCATTTCACTCCTACCAAAGGCCAAAGTCACTGTCATTCACTCACAGAAGGCTAGCAATGTAGAGCATAAGGTATTGGCCCTATGAGGATTCTGTCCCAGCAGACGATGCTTAATGACAAGACTTTATGGATCATGTGGTCCAGCTTGGTGACTTGTATGATAGATCGTTATCGACATGGATTGTTGCAACTGATAACAGTCACTTGGTTGTCTGGTCCACACTTGACTATTTTCAGGCCACCTTCATATACAGTGGAAAGGGGGGCCCAGTCATCTAAGGCGCCGCGATTCGCTGTGCAGAGTTGTGTCCCTTGGGCATGCCAGAAACCTGTGATTGTGGGTTCGAATCCCGGTTTGCCCCGGTTATGTTTCTAGGTTTGTCAGCACCATACCCATGCTTGTGGGTTTCACCGAAGTGGTAACATCTGAGACCTGCATCACTTCGGGCTTTCCTCCCACATTAAGCTGACACACTGTGATATAACTGGAATACTGTTAAAAGCGGCGTTAAACCCAACTCACTTACTTACTCAAATACACTAGAACCCTTTTAATCTAGACGGTCTCGTTCTTAGTGTTGATTGTCATATCAGCAGGCTTTCCTGGATAAGTGAATCATTTGACAGTGCATATTGCAGAACGGAAGACCATCTTGTCCTGGATTATATGTTCTAATAAGATTGGTGACAACTCACTTCTGTCGGAAGTGCGACATCCAGATTATTGGGGGCGGAGTGGTCAAGCGGTCAAAAGCATCAGGTGCTGAGCTCGTATCTCTCTAGTGACCCAGTCAATTATTCAGGTTTGGGACCAACAATGTTTACAGGTCCTTACAGTGTTGTCACTACCCCTAGCGTACAGTACATTCACCATGTGCACTCAAAAGAACCCACTCGTCCGATGTGTCAAAACTTGTGGTGTCACCTTTGGCAAGTGACTAAGTTCAAATGTGCCTCTGTTCACCCAGCAGGGAATGGGTACCCGATATGTGAGGTGGATGTAAAAACCCTCTAGCGCCTCGAGGCAGCTTGGGTTGTATACTCCTCAGGGAGTTGAGAATGATAACCGGAATGTGAACAGATCCACAGGATGGGGAACAAATAAAACCACATTTGAGCAGATACTAGTACCTGGATACTGAGTTTGACTGCAGCTGGAGTATTGCTGAGTGTTAAATGGCAAAGAAAAACTTCATAGAGTATTGATAGTACTGGTATGTAGGTGGGTAAGAGGCGACTAATGGCATAGGGTGGTCAGGCTTGCTGACTTGGCTGATTGATGCATGTCATTGTATTCCAATTGCGTGGATTGATGCTCATGATGTCAATCACTGGATTGTCTGGTTTAGACAAGATTATTTACAGACCGCTGTCATTTAGCTGGAATATTGCTGAATGTGGTGCTAAACAACAAACAAATAAATAAACAAACAAACAGACAAACAAAGGGTACAGAGGTGGACATAGGTTCTTAGAGAAATCCTTCATACAATAGGGGAATCTGTAATCATTGAAATTCTGGTATCAAAACTATGACAACTGATAACTTCAGATTTTAACACAACCATGATAAATCGCTACATTTTGCTGTTCCTGAAGACTACATTGTTAGTTCACAACATCAGCAGATCACAACATATTAATGTGTATCACAGACTGGGAACAGACAATGTTCACTTCCTGGTGTTCAGAAGCAGGGTCAATACTTACTGATAACTACTGATTGCAACACAACTGTGTATTTATTCCCTATGGCTGGTTCCTTGGCTGAATATATTTCCAGTATTATATTTCCAGCAAAAACAAATTTATATCATTTTGTAATTTTTAATAAGTAAACTGTAGTTGTATTCTGTCTGACTCGCGCAATATATTATGATTCCAGGGCATGTATGGATATCACTTGAAGAAATGTATTGAGTAGGCTATTGGTTTATTGTCAACTTCACTGTCAGTCACCTATACACCAGTAAGACTCTTGTAAACAAATATTCCAGGAATATAGAATGTTGGACTGACGGGACACACCTCTCTCATGTTATATGACCAGGGATGTATTTAGGCCTGCTTAGAGGCTGATACTTGGCTCCAAGTCTGGAGGAAATGTCCATAAATATTCCCAAATTGGAATAAGAATTTTCCAATTCCTGTTATAAATTCATAACTAGTGATATGGCTTGGCCACAGTGACTTGTATTTCAGTGACCAATAATGCCACACCTTTTTTTGTCGTTTCACGTCTACTGAAAAGGAGCTGGAAAAGAAATACATTAAACACAAAAATATTTATTTTTTTGTCTCCCGCTAGTAATATAGGTAGTCCCATTTTTTACAATAAAAATGTTATATATAAATGCCATGTCTACAGAAGTATCAGTGATTCAAGAAGCCGGCTGCAGTTTTAACACCACGGCAGAATGACGTTCATATAAATAAATAAATTATTGACATAGCTATTTTTAAATATTTTTATTTCGTCCAACTTTGTGTGGAAAAACTTGAATAAATACGTGAAACATAAAATTAAGAAAGTGTGGCCTAAGAGGAGGAGGCTTTACCTCCTAGTTTTACATTCTTGTCTGAAAATAACACCTTTGCCCAAAACTGATGAGCAGTTTGAGCTCAATAACATATTTTCACCATATTGCCTGCTATAGGTACTTCGGTGGGAATCCTCGTTAAATCTCTGCTTGACTACTTCCTCTGAAATACTGTTCAAAGCAACTTTAAACAAACACACTCCCCATGCTCACTCGTGCTACTTGCCAAAATAGACTTGCTTACTCCTTTGATATCATAGCATATCTTATTTCTGTTGCAGAATATGGATTTGTGTTGATGAATTATGAAATATCGAAGGATAATCTATTTCTGTTTTCATTGGATAAAGTTTACTGATTTGTAATCATTGTCCATTACTTCAGACTGCAGTCCTTTAAGGGATGCTTGTTGTAATTATGGATTACTGTTTGGCTGGGAAAGGGAATGTGAATTACAATGTGAAGCAACAACTGATCATTTCTCATGGTACAGAGAGAGAGCAGCTGTGTTGTTGGTCTTCAAGAACAAAAAGCACAAAGTCGTGTCACATGTATTGAAGCCAGAAAGATCTCTGAAGCAGTTGAAAAGGACGTATCATCTATTCTTTATGGTCCTGTGAAGATTTGGGGTAGAATAGGTCTTCAGCAACCCATGCTTGCTGTAAGAGGTGACTATGCTTATCGAAAGAGGCGACTAACATGATCAGGTGGTCAGTCTTGCTGACTGGGTTGACTTGGTCATCATATCCCAATTGCATGGATTGATGCTCATGATGTCAATCACTGGATTGTCTGGTCCAGTCTCGATTATTTACAGACCACTGTCATATAGCTGGAATAGTGCGGCGTTAAACAACAACAAACAAACAAACAAAACCTATTCTTTATGAGAAAAAAATAAAATTGGAAGTGTTTCCGTGGTATATGATTTGGTAACCAAGCAATGTTTTGCTTGTTTATGTTTCTATAAAGTCCTCCAAAAATAGGCAACATCCACTTACAGACTACTGTTTCCTGATTGGCTGATAACAGAATGGGCGGGTCTTGCATAGCATTATTGTGCTGATTGGCTGATAACAGAATGGGCAGGTCTTGCATAGCATTATTGTGCTGATTGGCTGATAACAGAATGGGCAGGTCTTGCATAGCATTATTGTGCTGATTGGCTGATAACAGAATGGGCAGGTCTTGCATAGCATTATTGTGCTGGTTGGCTGATAACAGAATGGGCGGGTCTTGCATAGCATTATTGTGCTGGTTGGCTGATAACAGAATGGGCGGGTCTTGCATTGGTGTCACTGATTTACAAATGTACATGTGTTAACAGATTTTGGAGTGTGAATGATTAATAAGCAGTCTATGCAGATTTACACAGTATGTACATCAGATTTTACGTTATTACCTTCATATTACACAAAAAGTATTGAAGTCAGTTCTTAAATATGTGTCAGTTATTGTTGCCCGAAATATTAAAAGACGCTTGGGTGAGGTTCTCGATCACTTTTACATGTCACTACTGAGAAAAGTAACTGAAACAGACATAAAATGTTAAAAAAAAGTTCCTTACAATATAAATAGTTTCCAAATGTTTCTTCCATCACAGAACCTGATGTCAGAATTGTAATGTCAGTGACTTGACAACCAGGAGTTCCCTTCCCAGGAGAATGATTACACACCCACACATGTTAGTAGAAAGAAGTGTAGACAATACATCTTTGGTTAAGACAAAGAAACAGGGTTGTGATGCACATGCATACTTTGAACAGTTCTAAAGTGAGTGAGTAGTGTTTAATGCCACTGTCAGCACA